ATTGAATTTTATTCTCAAGAGATTTTTGTGACATTATATCTACATTTGTCAAAGATGATAGATTTCTTTCATTTGAAGAAGAAAAATCTATTGGGTTTTTACAATTGAAGAAATACTCAATTCACCAATCTGAAATCAAATAACTCAACATTCATGCATCATATTTTAAGTGTTTACAAAAATAGGTGCATTTTCATTCATTTTCATCTATGTTGAATTTTTAACAGGAATTTCAAAGATTTTAGCAAAGATTTGAATCCATCATTTGATGGAACAGCTTTTCCAGAGAAGGTTCATAATGAGAAGAACTCATCTGAAGAAGGAAGAAGAAGTTCATAATGAGAAGAATTTGTTCAACCTTTTGCTTGAATTCATCATTTGATGGATCAACATTGCCAGGTAAAGTTCATAATGAGAAGAACTCATCTGAAGAAGGAAGAGAAAGTTCATAATGAGAAGAACTCATCAAGAGCTTATTCAACCTTTTGAATGACTCTATCACAAAAAGGAGGTCATCATCATCCCCAGCAGAAAGTTCATAATAAGAAGAATTTATTTGGAGAAAAAGAAGAATTTATTCAATATCACAAAGAGGGGTAGCTGAAGATACTAAATTTTTTTTATCCATATTATTATTATTAATATTATTATTATCCTTATTATTATTAATAATAATAATATTATTATTATTATTATTATTATTATTATTATTATTATTATTATTAATTTATATTAAATATATTAAATACATAATAATAATTACAGACCCATTACATTTGGACCGGCCCAGTTACAAACCAACCAGAACCGGTCCATATCCAACCAGAAACCCTAAATATTTGGGTTTCCAGTTAGGGTTTCCTAACCATAATCTAACCAGCCGCCTCAGCTCATAGCCGTTGGATCTGGCAAGATCCAACGGTCCAGATGGCTCTAGAGAGGAACCCTAGGGTTTGATACCCTAGGGCCACGCGGCGCCGCCCCAGCTTCCACGCGGCTGCCGACAGTCTTCTCGCCGCCTCCGCCGCTGCCACGTCCCAACCGAAGACTCCAGAAGATAAAATGGCAGCCGTCCATGCCATGGCTACTCGGTGAGTCACCACTGGTAGTCCGGTGACTCACCGAGAGCCCTTCTTCGGACCGGTCCGACGGATACAATGGTGGTGGCTATAAAAGCCACCACCCCACCTGCGAAGAAAAAAAAAAGGGGAGAGACAAAAAAAAACTAGAGAAAAAACAGAGAAACGAAGAGAAAAGAAAAAACAAAGAAAGAAAAAAAAAACAACAACAACTACCAACGATCCCAGTCCACAACAACAGAGCAAAAATAGAAGGAAAAAGAGAGGAAAGAAGCTTACCAAGGAAGCCTTGACCAACACCGGAATCATTAAACATCGCCGGAGAACCAAAAATACGAAGGTATTTTCATAGATTTACTCCGATTTGGAGTCTTTTCGGGAAAACAAAAGTTGGATTCGGGCTCAGGGTGTCTAGATCTATGTTTTAGGTGAATTTGAGAAATTTCCGACCACCGGCGGCGGTGGTCGGCGGCAGAACTCGCGGCGGCAGACGGCTGCCGGATTCCCTCCGGTGAGGGAATCTAGAGAGAGGCCAGAGAGAATTCTGGCTCTCTCTCTCTCTCTCGGTTTAAGAAAGAAGAAAAAAAAAAGAAATGAAATGGCTGGCCCTTCGGGCCAGCCGATTTGGACTCTTATAGTCCTTCCCGAACGACGTCGTTTCGGGAAGGACTATGCGCGTAATTATGAAAAAGTTAAATCCCTTCCGCAGTCCTTCGTATTTATAAATTTTACATTTTAGTCACTAAACTGAATTTATAATAATTTTAATTTAGTCTTTGAATTTTAATTTTATTCATTTTAGTCCTTTTTATTAAAATAATATATTTAGGATAAATGACAGATTCAATCCCTTAATTTTAATAAATAATTTTTTTTAATCACTGGTTCATATTTTTAATTTATTCTATTATAAAATTTGAATTTTAAATAATTTCCTTTTGGTCACTAAATTATTAAATTAGAAAATAAAATATTTAAACCCTATAATTTCAATTAATTAGTAATTAGTAATTAGTTTTATTTTTATAATTTAGTTATTCATTTATATGTCTTCATTTATTTTATTGTTTTTAAATATATTGTTTTAGTAATATTTTATTTTATTATATTGTTAAACATTTTTTATATATCATAAATATACATATAATAAATAGTATTTTTTTTAAATATTTATTTTTAATATCGAAGAAAAGGACAGTCTTAATACAACTGGATGTCATATTCTGATATTTTAAAATTAAAAAGTAAACAATATTATTTAAATTAATATTTATCAATATCAAAGAAAAGAGCTGTCTTAAGGCACCTAGAAGTTCTTTTCTGATATTTTTAAATATAAATATTTTTTTTATTTTGAAATAATAGAATAAAAAATTAAATATATTTTTGACTTTTTAAAATTTTAATAATAGAGACAATTTATAATTAAAAAGTACCAATTTTGGGCGTTGTAGGGGTGCTAATCCTTCCCTAAACGTAACCGACCACGAATCCCTTTTTATTATTAAAAAGAATGAATTTTTGGTTATAAACGCAGATCAGTTTATTTTTTTTATTGGTGTTTTATTAAAACTCTTTTAAAAAAAATAATTTTTAGGTATTCGACCTACCTAACCCAAAAGGCCGATGGCGACTCCCAAATTATTTTCAAAACCATTTATTCACATCACTTTTCCCGCCAAACAAATAAATTCGTGCCCGGACGAAAAACGGTTACGACACTATCAAAATGGTCAGTCTTGTTTCATTGTTATTCACGTTTGATCTTTAATTTTAAAAAAACATATTTTGGCCACTTAAGTTATCGATTTGTAATATTTTGTTCAATGAAACTTCAAATGAGGTTAGTTTGATGACATTATAGATTAATGGATGGATTTTTAGTATAATCTCTAAACTTTATAAAAATTAATTTAACCTTTAAAATTTAGATAAATATAATTTAATTCTTTAACTTTAGATAAAATATCAATTTAACCCCTAAATTCAAAAAAAAAAATATCCACCATTAGATTCTTTTTCAACGATCGTTGGTGATGACGGATGATATGACTGATACCGATGACCGGAGATTTTGGTCGGATTTAGGTGTTAAATTGATATTTTATCTAAACTTTAAAAGTTAAATTGATATTTTATCTAAAATTTAAGGGTCAAATTAATATTTTATCTAAAGTTTAGTAGTTGAATTAATGTTTTGTTTAAAATTTATGAATTAAACTAAAAATTAATCATTTTTATTAATACGTCATATCATCAAACTAATTAGGTTTAGAGTTTCAAAGATTAAAATGTTATATTTCTAATCAATGACCAAAAGCATTGTTTTGAAAACTGGACCGGACCGGCCGGTTCAACTGGGAATCGTTGCTTAGTCTGGTTCATTCTACACTGGTTGAACCGCTACTAGTGAATCGGCCAGAACCGCTGAACCGTTCGAACCGAAACTGGCTGAAAACCGGAAAAAATCAAAAATTTTGTTTTTTTTATAAAAAAATTAAACCAAACGACGTCGTTTGGTAAACGAGCTAAGTCGAACTCAAGTATTGCTGAGCTCGACTCGAACTTGAAATATAATATTGAAACTTGAACTCAAAAAGAAATTTAGAAGCTCGATTGAAGCCTAAAATTCGAGTTTGATTGAAGTGAAAGAATAGTTCACTTAATGCTCACCAAAAGACTCCATGATTTTGAATGCCAAATTATCTCTATTATTTATAGAAGTTAGTTGTGATATTCTTCTATGTTTTTTAGCCATGTGAGATTGTTTTGTTCTCATATTTTTACTCTTTAGACTTTTGGGATGCTTTTCTATGTTTCTTAGCCATGTGTGATTGTTTTTAAAATAAAATTAAACCAAACAAATATCATTTTGTTATGATTTTTTTAGCCCCAAATTTATTTTTTAATTATAGTTATATAATTATATTTAATATTTAATATGTTTTACCTTAAATATTATGTTGTAGTTAATTTGAATCATTTTGTTTCACTTGATTTTATGGTTTTTAACTTATATATGTTATGAATTGCTTTGAATATGATTTGTGATATAAAAAATTATTTTTTATTAAATATTTTTGGTATTTTTATTTAATTTTTTAAATAATTATGACGTCGTCCGGTTGAACCAGTGAGCTGGTAGCATGACCGGTTCGTTAACCGGTCCGGTTCTGAAAACCATGACCAAAAGTGACAAAAAATGAAACGAAATTGACCATTTTGATAGTTTACCCAATATAATATTATGAGAAAAATGAAGCCAACCATTGTTTTGATAGTTTTACGAATTCAATCAATGATGGATAGTCCTAAAGCTAGATATGTAATCTTTGGTTCATGGTTGCAGTTGAGTGGAAAGCGGGCAAAATCAACGAGATAATGCGTTGAATTTTTTTTTTTACGAGATAGTGCCCTCGCCAGATTAATTGTTCAGATGGGGTGATCTCTACGGTCCCACGTCCCTGGGGGTAGGTCGCCATGCACGCCCCAACACGCTGGGCATCCGAGGTCATCCGATCGAGGCCATCCGAAAGCATCCGAGGCCATCCGACCGAGGTCATCCGAACGAGCTATGCGAGGGCATCCGAGGGCAACCGAGCGAGGGTAGGTCGCCCGGAGTGCATGGCGACCTACCCTCGCTCGGTTGCTCGGATTCCCTCGCATAGCTCGCTCGGTTGCCCTCGGATGCCCTCGCATAGCTCGTTCGGATGGCCTCGGATGCCCAGCGTGTTGGGACGTGCATGGCGACCTTTGGGGGCTGCATGGATTGCATGGCGACCTACCTAGATCGCTGGGCGTACATGGCGACCTATATGGGGACTGTAGAGATCACCCCATCTGAGCAATTAATTTGGCGAGAACACTATCTCGTGAAAAAAAAAATTCAACGCATTATCTCGTTGATTTTGCCGTGGAAAGCGCATTGGAATTGTGGGGCTTGGAAGAATCGGGTCCGAGGTTGCAAAAAGGCTGCTAGCATTTGGTTGCAGCGTTGCCTACTGCTCCAGAAAGGTGAAGCCATATGTCCCATTCGCTTACTGTTCCACCGTGAATGACCTTGCAAAAAACAGCGATGCTCTCATTCTTCGTTGTTCTTTGACAGAAGAAACTCACCACATGATCGACAACGGTGTCATGGAGGCGTTAGGGAAGGAAGGAGTGATAATTAACATCGGAAGAGGGGCTCTGATTGACGAGAAGGAACTGATGAAGTTTTTACTTTTTGGTGCCAGGGAGAATCGGTGGAGCGGTCTTGATGTTTACGAAGGCGAACCCTTTGTGCCGCAAGAGCTGTTTGCGATGGAGAATGTTGTGTTGGCTCCTCATGCTTCTGTTTTCACTCCGGATTCGTCCGTGGCATTGCAGGAGCTGGTTATAGGGAACTTGAGGGAATTTTTTTCTAACGAGCCTTTGCTTTCACTTACTCAACTTGAATGAAGCCCTCGTGTGGAAATGTTGAATCATTGCCATTGGTGACAAGTGACCTATCCGTAGACTATTTGAAGATGTTTAAGCTCTAATTCTTTGTTCACTTCAATTGTGGAACCCCATTGGAGTATTATTAGAAAACGCGGTTGATTACAATGGCAGAGGGAAGTCAAGCTTGATTTGGAGGTATATACCAAGTCCACCCACGAATCCCTCTTTGGAAAGCTTTAAAAGATCAGATAGTATACCTAAAAGGCTCACCTAAAATGAAAAAGTTCACATGGCTTCAAACAAAACTTATGATCTACAGTCTTCCCTGTCTGCTTAATTGCAAATTGAAATTCTTGTATAATTTCTATCCCCTGCCTAGCCAGTGCTTTATTGCAGAATGTATATTTGTTTATGTTATGTACTATACTTCATACCTAGAGCAGGCACGTTGACAGAAAGAGAAGTTAGCAAGCTGTGAAAGTGTCTGATTCAATATATATTATATTCCATGCCTAACACAAAGATATATTATAATCCAAGCCCAGCTAATAGGAGATTTGAGAATTAGAGATTTGTTGAGGAGGGGAACATGTTGAAGCCACAAAGTTTGAGTACTGACGACGGAGCCATAATGCTCCCAAAGGGGAAATATGCCCTCATTTCAACCCCTGAGCAGCACGCCGGTTTCCTTTTCATTCCCCCCCTTTTTTTCATATGAAGGGTAATCATCAACCCACGCCCCAAATCATTTCTCCCAACCTTGCACCTCAAAGCTTCTTTACATGACATAAAGCAAAAGGCATCATGTTTTTAGAAACTTTTACCCGAATTTCAAGCGAATTTGTTAGTGTTGTTGGATGGATTTTAGCTGCACTGTTATAACCATCTCAATGGCTCAAGTAGATTCTTCTTGGGACACCATATAATGAAAAGGACACTGAGAACATTCCTTTATCATCTCTCTTCCATTCCTCGTTGCAAAACCTGTTCTAGCCGTTACTCTATGGGGTCTCTTTTCTCTCTCATATTGATAATACTTTCATCGGCATCATTGCTCTTGACGGAAGCCGAAGCCGAAGGGATCAGATCAGCTCGTCTTCTCGATCTTCTCATTAGGGACTACATGGTGAAGTCTTTTGACAGGCATTTGAGAACAGGCACTGTACAAACTATAAATCTACCCGCGAATTTCTCCGGCATCGAAGTCGATACAGCGAGGTTTAGATGTGGAAGTCTCTACAGATATGGTGCACAAGTTAAGGAATTTTATCTGGGGAGAGGCGTGAATGTGCAGCCTTGTGCAGAGAGAGTCATGGTAGTTAGACAAAACTTGGGTTCTAATTGGTCATCCATAAACTATTCTAAATATGATCTTTCAGGGTACCAGCTCGTGTCACCAATATTAGGCCTCCTCGCTTATAATGCCGGCACAGATGTGAGTTCCGGCAGCCCTTTCGAGGTCGAAATTCTTGCGACGGAAAGCCCGATCAAAATAAACTTCAGCAACATTACAAAGGCATCCAACACGAGAGGAATCAGGGCATTGTGTGCTAGTTTTGAAGGGGATGGCAAAGTTACATTGAGAAACCAAGTGTCACCCGATGTTTGTGTTGCGACAAGGGATGGCCATTTCGGTTTGGTCGTCGAGTTACCGCCACCGGTGCCGGTGAGGAAGAAGAAGATTAGCAGATGGAAATTAGCTGTCGGAAGCTCCATCGGAGCTGCATTGGGTGCTTTCCTCTTGGGGGTGCTTTTGGTGTCGATGCTTGTTAAGGCAAAGAAGAAAGCGATAATGGAGGTGTTGGAGAGGAGGGCGTATGAAGAAGAAGCTCTCCGGGTTTCCATGGTTGGACATACGAGAGCTCCAATAGCTCCGGGTACTCGAACAACGCCTACAATCGAACATGACTACACACCCTATCCTTCTTGAAATGTCACCATTATTATTTCTGTAAGATTACTTTATTTGCTTTTGACATGAAAACAAATCCAACCAAAACATTCTTATGTTCTGTTCCCGTAAGTTACCAGAAAACGACTAAACTGGTTGTTCCGATAGATCCAAAGGGCTATTCGTTTTCTTTCTTTCTGGCTTTGCATCAGTCAAAAAGCCATGATGTGAGCTTTGAATATTCTGAAAAAAAATGATTGCAGCTTTTGCTGAACAGAAAGAAAACCCTAGTGTCCATTGACCCTTCAACGTTGATCTAATTATGGTTTTATTCTCTTTATTTCATAAAAATTTGTATTTAGTCTTTTTTTTGGGCATTCCGTCACATAGTGTAGGTCACATGTCAATCATGTTCAACTAAAAACATAACATCTTAACCGAATGCTTAAAGTTGATAGGCACCTAACTATTGAGAACGAAGAAGAGCTGATAGTTTTACTAAATCCTTATATCACAAATAAGTACTCAAAGTATATTATCTTTTTCATTGAAGTAGGGGGTGTTCATTCGGTTAAAACGGTGGCCGATCAAACCGAATTAACCATAACCGAATTAATCAATTTTTTTTTTCTTTAACCGTTAACCGAACCGAATTTTTTTTCGAACATATTAACCGAACCGAATAAATTTCGGTTAATTCGGTTAATTTCGAATTAACCGAATTTTTTTTTTAAATTTTCTAATTTATATAAAAATTAAATATTTTTTAATTCAAAAAAAGTTTATAATTAATTTAAATAATATATAATTATAAAATAAAAATTTTAGATAAATTTTTTAATTAATTAATATTGATTTAAGTTTAAAAGTTATTGGATATTAAATTATTAATTGGGTTTTAAATGGTTTGGGCTTAGCCCATATATTATATATAATATATTTAATATTTTTAATTAAAAAATAGTTTACAATTAATTTAAATAATATATAATTATAAAATAAAAAATTTATATAATTTTTTAATTAATTAATATTGATTTAAGTTTAAAAGTTATTGGATCTTAAATTATTGATTGAGTTTTAAATTATTTGAGTTGAACCCATATGTTATATATAATATATTTAAAATTTAAAATTTAATTTCGATTAATTCGGTTAATTAACCAAATTCGAACCAAATTAACCGTTAACCGAATTCTAAAAATTTTATTAACCATTAACCGACCGAACTAATTCGGTAACCGAACTGAATTAACCGAACTAATTCGGTTCGGTCGGTTAACCGAATTAGTTCAGTTATTTGAACACCCCTACATTGAAGTACTCAATTTTTTTGGGTCAAGAAACTACTAAGTCCTCAATCTATTTCACCTAAACTCTAAAAAAGTTTGTTTCAAAAAAAATATTCTAAAAAAAGGTTACTAATGATATTACCTAAAAAATATTTTAGGTACTTAGATAAAAATTTTGAATATTTTAAATATCTATTTTGACAAAAAATAACTTAAGGTATTTATTTTGATCAAAAAAATTTCTAGTTACTTGTATGAAAAAATGATATACTTTAGATACTTATTTATTATATAAGCCTCTAATAAATATTATCATGTTTAAGGACAAATACAAAATTTTATATCAGAGAAGATTTATAAAATTCTAGGAGAAACTTATGAATTTTTAAGAGATAACAATATTATAAATATAAAATATAAAAAAATATATAAATTATATGAGAATTTAAAATTTTTAGAGGGCGATCTAATCAATTTTTATTATATTCATTGAGAGAGAGGGTTGTGACCCCTCCCAAATTATTTTAATAAAGTAGTATTTTAGATCTTTGTTAGTTTAAATATTAATTAAATAATTTTTTTATCTTTATCAGTTTTTGAGTTCAAATATTTAACAAATTCTCGTCCTCCTAAATGTTTGATCTAAGTCCGTCCCCGTCTATTTGAGCCAACTAATAACATTACAGAAGTGGGGATAAAATGATATACACTCGTGATGATATTTAAATACAATAGAGGGACTAAAACCATAAATATACCCCTGTAATCATATTACCCAACCCCACGTAGATGACTTTAATCAGCCAAAGATCCTTGAAAGTTGGGTTTTCTTAATTAAGAAATACTACAATTCAATAGAGAAACTGGCAATTATTACTTTCCCCGTGAATCAATAATCAGAAGGTGGCAGTAGGAGTGGGATATGCGGTTGACAGCTGTCCAATGTGGGGGGGGGGGGGGGAGACCTTATAAATTCAAGGCTGTCATATTTAACTCAACCTTCAACCATTCATTATAATTATTGCATCTTTTATAACTTCAATCAACCTTTTTCCTCTCCTCAATTAAATCTTCCATCATCTTTAGGGACAGAAATGGGATCCAAACAAAGATTTTAATCTAATAGGTCAAATTTTTTTAAAAAAAATTAGAGCCTAGTTATATCATATTCGGATTTAAGGTAAAAAATTAATCGATTCAAAAAAAATTATAATTTTACTTTATATATTTAGAGATATTATAATAATACCCATCTATATATTATTTTATTTTAATTAAATCTATATTTTTATTGAATAAAAATAATATTTTTTACTAAATATATTATTTCTAGTCGGGATGAACCCGTGTTCGGATTTTATCTGAAAAAATCATATCGGGTTCAGATCGGGTGGAAGATGTATATTTTTGGGTTTATGTTCAGATCAGGTGGAAGATTTATAATTTTCAAGTCGGGTCAGGTGGACCAAAAATCCGACCCAACCAGACCCATGAGCATCCCTAATTAATAGTCCAACGGGTTATATCAGTATTTCCTCATTAGGAGACGAATATGTCGACTTAATTTATTAATATAATTAATATATTCAACGTTATTTAAAGGTGCAATATTTTTTAATTTTTAACTTTGATTATTAATTATTTTATCTGCATAATTATATATAAATTTTAGTTACAATTTCCACATAAATATGATTAGTTTTGAAATAATTAAACTTTAAATTTGAAGGTTATTGGAAAAATAATAGTAGGAGAAAGAGAATGAGTGAAATGAGTTGGGCCACTTTCCAATCTGCTGGCCCAATTATTAGCAGACAGGTTCGAGTGTAACGGTTCAGATTCTGCTTTCGGCCGCACTTAATCCTTTCCTTCCTTTCAGTACTGATTGTTACCAAGAATTCCCGGGAAAGTAAAACGGATTAACCGAACCATGACACAATTCTCACTTGAGAAGAGGAATACATATTTTTTTTAAAAAAACTTATATTTTAAGTTATTATTATTAAATAAATAATATTTCTTAAACGTTTTATAAATTTAAAAAATAAATATATTTAACATTTTAGATTAAGAACATTTTTAAATATTTATTTTCACTTGATATTTGGAGGGTTTTTTTATCTAATATTGAAATAATTATGTATGTACATGAGTTGAATCAAGTTTTTAATTTGATATGGGTATTTTACTCCTCTTTCTATCACTTTATCTTAGATTTAGATTTAAGGAGGTTTCACTCGACTTGAGATTTTATCTTATTTTTTGAGTAAATATGCACTCGATCTCACCTAATACACACATATATATACTTTTTATTATGTAAAATAGAGATTTAGTTTTAAAAAAATACACAAAATGATATTATTGCAATTATTTCTAACTATATATAAGAGTTCATTTAGGGATGGACATGGGTCGGGTTGGGTCAGATTTTTGGTCCACCCGACCCAACCCGAGAACAAGGAATCCTCCACTCAAGATCTGACCCGACTCGACCAAAACAAGATTCCACCCGACCCAAACCGACCTGATATATAACTTAAAAACCTGACCTGACCCAACCCGAAATAATAAAAAAATATTATTTTTATTCAATAAAAACAGTGACTTAATTGAAAAAATCATTAGGGATGGAGTTGGGTCAGATTTTGGTCCACCCGACCCAACCCGAGAACAAGGAATCCTCCACTCAAGATCTGACCCGACTCGACCAAACAAGATTCCACCGACCCAAACCGACCTGATATATAACTTAAAAACCTGACCTGACCCAACCCGAAATAATAAAAAAATATTATTTTTATTCAATAAAAACAGTGACTTAATTGAAAAAATATATAGAGAGAGGGCATTATTGTAATTATTTTTAAATATATAAGGTAAAATTATATATTTTTTGGGTCGGGTCAGGTATTTTTCACCCTAAACCTAACCCGACCCCAACCCGATATATAACTTAAAAACCCGACCCGGCCCAACCCGAAATAATAAAAACTATTTTTATTCAATAAAAATAGTGCCTTAATTGAAAAAAATAATATATAGAGGGGTATTGTTGTAATTATTCCTAAATATATAATGTAAAATTATATATTTTTCGGGTTGGGTCAGGTATTTTTCACCCTAAACTTGATCCGACCCAAACCCCATTTTTAAAAAAAAAACCAACCCGATCTGGTCGGATCGGATCGAAACTCGTCGGATTCGAATTTCATGCCCATCCCTAAGTTCATTATGTTATTATCTATGATTGATAGTTTTTCGCCATAAATTCAAACCTAATTCAATCATATATTTGAAAAACTCAATCAACCTCAAAATTAAATTTTCAAAAAAAAAGTATTCATCTTATAAGATCGGATGGAAACCCGTTAAATCGAAGTATCATAACCTTCCCTCAAAATAATATTATATTAAAATAGAATGGATTATTATTACTCAAGATTAAATAATTATTTAAAATAGAACGGATTAACCGAACCATGTCACAATTCTCACTTGAGAAGAGGAATAAATTTTTTTAAACTTATATTTTAAGTTATTATTATTAAATATAAATAATTATTTAATATATTATTTATAAAAATAATTAGTAAGGTGATATTAAATGTTTTTTAAATAAATTAAAATATGAAAAATAACGAAATATATGATATAAATATGTTATTTATGCAACGTCAATCAATGATGGTGTATCAATTAATAATTTCTTAAACGTTTTATAAATTTAAAAAATAAATATATTTAACTTATTTTAGATTAAGAATATTTTTAAATATTTATTTTCACTTGATATTTGGAGGTTTTTTATCTAATAGTGAAATAATTAGGTATGTACATGAGTTGAATTAAGTTTTTAGTCGATTCTAATTTGATATGGGTATTTACTCCTCTTTCTATCACTTTATCTTAGATTTAAGGAGGTTTCACTCGACTTGAGATTTTACCTTATTTTTTAGCTTAATTTAAAATGTGCATTTTTGTCTTGTGACTGTTAGTGCCAAGGGATGGCAAGTTGGCTAGATAATGATGGTATGCGTAGACTCAAGACCTTTTAGGTGTGGTGTGTTAGGCTTGGTTGTTTTCTGATGTCCATAAGGGCTGTTAAGCTCTGTTTATTTGTTTGTTGGTGCGACAATTTACTGTCTTCCTTCCAGCTTGGTTGTTGGAACCTTGTGGAAATGGTGGGTAGTGTATTTATTACAATTGACTGTGAGCTAAGGTGATTGGATTCTTGTGTCTTGCGAGGACTTGTTGGTCAAAGAGGAGTCCCCCGAAGAGTTTATCCAATGTTTCATCCTGTAATTTGATAGGCTGTTTGGATGTTCTAAGTAGTGTTTGTTGTTACGTGCCTCGTGATCGTAATGGAATGGCTTTGCTTTGCGGTTGATGGGGGAGAAGTTTTGTGATGTTGCTAGTCGGTCTGCTCAACTACTATAGTGCTGGAATTTTCGTTTGCAGCTCTGATTGTAATATTAGATTTGTTTTGTTCTGCTCGGTTTGTCTGTGCTGGTTCTAGAGATGTTGTTTGTGGTAAGTCTTTATAGTGTTAATTGAAGGTACTGCTGTTGCAAAAAGGCTGTTGGTTGTTGTAATGTTGATATGTTCTTAGCCTTGTCTTTGGTAAAGGAGTTTCAAATTTGTAGGGGTAGAGTTGTGTGTTTTGTTTCGTTTGGAGTTGTATTTTGCTCCTAGTCAAGAGTACTCTTTTCCTTCGATTTAGGGAGGTTTTTAACGAGACTATTGATTCATGATTTATTTAATAAAATCTCTTTTGCCGAGAAAAAAAAAAAAACTATGGCCTTAACAAATTTTCTGGTCTTCTTTCTACTGCCCATTTAATCTGGGTATCGATCAAATTGCACTCTCGTAAGTCGCAACTTTATTTTTTGTTGGTGGGGATTGCGAGTTACTTCATAGGGAGCAAAGGGAATGAAGTAGCTTTGATTTTGTACTGTTGAATGACTGCTTTTAATTGAGAAGTAAATGCCTGAATATTATTCTGTGGCTTGCCTCTAATCACATCAAGTTCTTTCAAGATTTCTTCTTTGTGGCATCGATGCAACCATCTGCCATGCAATGGTCTATAGAAGCAAGCAACACATATGTTTGTGGCATGATCTCTAATGATAGCGAAATAGGAGCATCATCTTTGGGGAGAACCACAATTCGCTAAGTCGGAAGAAACGATGCTGTAAGCTCGGGGTTTATCAGATATTCATACTTGTGAGCGTCCTCATGCTCTGAAGTATCAAAATTCAAAGAATTTGCTGCTCTGGGGAAACAACTATTTTATTGTTAGTTTACTGATTTTGGATCCCAATTTTCATTTTGATTTGATGTAAAGAGGGAGTTGTTGCATCGATTGTTGGTAGCTGCTCCCTCCCTCCCTCTGTAAATTAAAAAGGTCGCGGAGTACAGGGAGAAGAAAATAGAAGAAAAACCTAAACAAATCATTTTCTGTATTTATAAAAACAAAAGATATAGTTATGACATAATTATCTAAACTATAAAAAAAGAGAATTTGAAAATTTTATTCTATTAAACGTTACATTTCACACCATAAAATCATCTTATCACACAAATTTAATGTCACATTTCCACAAGTCTCTTACATTCAAATTTAAATATTTGCAACCTCTTTAATGAAATGTGATCTCTTTAATAAGATGAAGGTAGAAGTCGAAGCTTCATTTAAATTGAATAATCACCCATAGAGCTTTTAATACTAGGGTTTTTGGATATTTCTTCTCTCCGGGAGTCCTATACACAATTCTGTCTCCACCTCCATGTTCTGATTTTGGAGCTCACCTGACAGGCCTGTTGACGATGATTCTCGTTGTCGCATCTCACACTGATTATTAGAATGTAATAATATGTTACATAATGACGTTAAAATATCGACGAATATTAAATAAATGAAGAGGTATAAGAAATTTACTAATATGTCACATTGTAAATTTTTAAAATCTTTTTATTATTATGTTAATCTAGATATTCATTTTCATTCGTTTAATATATATATGAATATGATTAGCGGGTCAAACAAAATCATGTTATCAGGGAGGATGATTAGAGATCAAATACCTTTTCACGCAGATTTGCATTTTCTTCCCCAAGGCGTCTCTCCTGAATCAATGTTTAACTTAATTAATTATTCATCCAAAATAACATACTCGAAATCTATGCTGTTAAGCACCGTATAATATATAACTTTAAGCAAGAATGCAAAATGGCTCACCTCTTCCTTTAACTTGTCAATCTGCTTCAGGAATACCTGATTCTGCAACACATTAAAATAATTTCTTTAAGATTTTATCGGTAATACTATATTCATACACACATGAAAATGAAAATTTGTAACTATATAATGGATTTGGATGTACCTTTCTTGCCCTAATTCTGCATAAGCTTCGTTCCAACTGGTTTTGTAACTGTTGCAGATCATCAACAGAACATGGTTCTAGTCCATGTCCCAACATTTTTCTGTTATGAAACATACAGTGGTTTACGCATGAAGATGAAGAGAAGGGATTCCAAATATGAACATGAACTCAACATTAAGAACAAGTTTGAAGCTCGAGGATTTATTTAACCTTTTAGAATCTTCCAGTAATTCAATCTTCCTTGCCATGCTTTGAGCGTCTTCCTTTACATTCTTCACGGCGCCCACGCAAATTCAATCATTAGATATCGACCGACATGACTCAATGCATGTATTATTGGCCTAGTTCAGTGTATGTGTGTGTATATATTTATATATATATTACCTGCATATTTTCGTCTACTGCTTTGCTGCTGATTCCATAGACAAACTTCTCAGTCTTTTGATATCGTTCTATGGTTTTGTTCACACTGAAAGCACCTCAAAACACACACTATAATCACTGCACTGTCCAATTTGATTCGAGACATCCTAGGTTTACAAAATAAACATGATACTAGTCGAGATGCGGGAGATGAAGCTCTCGCAGTACGAAATTTCTATGCTATATAATAAAGCATTGAAGCTTGTAGGTCAACTAAATCTTACCTAGTTTGAAACCAAATCAGGTATACAAGCCTGTGTTTAATTTAGTTACCTTCGACCACAATTTAATATTTCAAAGTTAAATTATTCGAATTTGGGTGTAAGCGTTAGATTCTGGCGTGTATTTACGGTGAAAGATGCACGCCTATGTTAGCACTCTGAAATCTAAATTGTCTTCTATTAGTGACAAATTTTACTCGCATTCATCTTGTAATTTTATTTATTTTCATACCATATAAAAATTATGTGGTAATATATTCGTCTATTCAAAAAAATATTCCTATATCCATCGTGCCTATCTTAAATAGGCATGGTTAATTTTTTGTTTAGAAGTTTTTCTATTTGGACATCATGTCCCTATATCCATGCGTTGGATATTTCAAGAAAAAAACGAAGATTACAACCAACACAATTCACAATCTCAAGCAGGGTTGGTTTCAATTAAACTATTCTCTTTAATCATTTACGATATACACATTTATTTATTTTTAATCATTTATAATATACACATATTTATTTATTTTTTCACATACGTAAATAAGATTTATGATGTTATTTAATAAATCATCCAAAATTATATAATATATTCACATGCCATTTTTAGAAGGGGTTTTTAATGATAAAATATTGATGGGAGTATAAAAGAATTAAGGCAAAAGGGTAACTTTTGCCCTTGTAGTAGTAGACCAAATTTATCACTCTCACCACTATCGTATTTTCGCATCAATTTAACCCTCAAAGTTGCTCAATTACATCATTCTATACCCTACCCTTAACTTAAAACCCTAAATTATAAATTCTAAACCCTAAACCCCAAGCCATAACCCCATAACCTCTAAAGCATAAACCATAAACTCTAAACCCTAACTTGGGTTTTGAGTTAGAGGTAGTATATAGAATGATATAATTAAACAACTTTGAGGGCTTAATTGGTGCGTAGATACGATAGGAGCGAAAATGATAAATTGAGTCTACTATAGGGACAAAGGTGACCCTTAAGCCAAGAATTAACAAAATGATAGGAAGAAATAATTTCAAAGAGATGCAGTTGAAGGACCAAATTAAACAAGATATATATCTGAGAGATTAAATTAAAAAGAGAGAAAAATTATTATCAAATAGTAGAATTGAAGTTATATAGATATTCTAAAGTGAACAAGGTGAATATGGTTTAAATTCGATCAAAATAAACTTAAAATGAATGAAGAATTAAAAAAATAAAATCAGGAACTAAATCATAAAACAATCAAATTACTTAATTAAAGACCAAAAATAACATAATTTAATACTAAATTTTTTCAATTATTCAAACTTTTAAATTTTGTGGTTGTTATGTAAAGAGATTTTTTTAAAAAGGGATTTAGGTCGATAAAGATTATTTTTTAACATAGTTCTATTGAGGGTTAGATGGTGGTATAAAAGTAAACGACCTGGTTCTTTTAAGTTCGTTAATAACATTTTATTGTGTTCATCATTTCATTCTTGTAACATCTATAATTAAGTTTTTATATTGTATAAAACATGATGACTCATTTTAACAGAATTTCATTTTTAAAGCATATATATCTATATCAAGGTGTGTCAAAACCCACAAGAAAGAACTACCTACCCCCATCGAAAGGCATTTCCTTCTCTACCATTCTTATCGTTTTCGTTTTCTTGTTTGGTTTTCACCATTGATGAGTGCTTGAAACATTAAGAAAGAGAAAGTTCAAATTAGCATTATTTGAGAGGCAAATTCTTAATTTGAAAGCTCATGTTGATTACCCATGGACTTAGCCATCTTTATATATCATTAGATTAGTGATTATTGTCTAGGAATCTTTGGTTCATGAACTCTAACTCCTCATCCTTGGTTCATGCAAGAATCCAAATATGAAATTTTAGATTAATTTTTAGTATATCATGCTTTGAATGTGTATATGATGTGTTGTGAAACTCAAATTGTGTAGGAGACTTTGGAGAGCAAAATAAAGGAGAGATTAATCATTGAAAGCCAAAGTGGAGTAGGTCTAAATTTGGATTTTTTTATCAACATAGTCAAATGTGTGTAAACAATAGTGTATGAATGTGGTAATGAGTTCAAAGTTTTACCGATGTAAAGTAGATATGTCTGAATTGATTTGGATTATGAAAATATGTCATAAGATGTGTTCATATGTGATATTGCAATTGAAATGTGTTATAAGTTATAAATACGCCATGGTTATCTTAGTACTATTACATATATAGTTGACATATTATAAAATTTTAAGTCAACTTCGAGTTATAAAATATGACACGTCAACTCTAATAACTCGAAATCATTTTACTTGACTCGATCGAAAGCTCACTCCTATATGAAATGATTAATAGTATGATATAGTAATTTAAGTGAGCTTGTCCCTTATGCATCAAACTATAAGTTTGATACTTTAGCATATGCGACAAACTGATCCTTTAGCATAAGTTTGATACTTGTTTTCAGGTGCAAGCATGTTTGAATAGTGTGAATGATTGAACGAGACATGTTATTAACTAATTTGAGTGTTATATGATAAATGATGGTTGAGGTTAGTTTAAAGTGTTATAAATTAGTTTTGGTGTGTCTTATAGGTTCAAGTTTTGATATTGTGAGAGGAAGTTTCTAGACTTTTTAAGCAAGTTTTGATACTTTCAGATTAGAGTCAGAGGGGTAATTCTGTCGTGCGATAGCATAATTTAAGGTTGTAACCAAAAAAGTTACACAACGGTGGATTTACAATAAAAAAAATTATACAATTTGTAATAATTTCAGTTACAACCGAAAATATTATTAAGAATGTTATATTTTTTATTTCAACCTAAAATGTTATCTTGTGCAACCTAAAATTTACTCTTTTAATAAGATTTTTTGGTTGCAACCCATTTATATCACTTTTAACCTTAGATTAATGAGTTGTGTTTTAGACTTTCCAATTTAAGAGTTTTGATACTTCATACCTATTTTCTAAACTACCATGTCTGCATTGATAAGTTGACATAATTAACCCCTACAATTATTATCAATTGTATTGGTGGTCTCTTGATTGATCTATTTTACAACTTAGTCCTCCTATTTAGTAAAGTTGTACTAGTTTTGTTGTGATCAAATGAGTGTTTTTGTCTTGATTTAAGACTAGCTGAATTTCGAGGTACCCAAGTACAACTCAGAGCCCCCAACAGTCAATAGGTTCCACTTCCAATTTCTAATTTCATTCTATTTTTTAGTCCATAAATGAGACTTTTTTAACCTTTCCATCACCTGTGAAGTTTATGTATACGAGATTTGAACATAAACCAAGATTTTATAGCTAGAAAGAAACAAGATTTTTTTTCTCATAAAATCATTGCATGTGGTACATATATATATATATATATATATATATATATATATATATATATATTGCAGCTCCATGCTTATTTTTCATTAATGTTTAAAACCCTTGTAATGCTAGTTAAGTAAAAGTAAGCCTTCTAAAAATGACTCAACTCCCAAGCTGTCGCGACTAATAATCTCACTATATCTTAACCCAAGACATTAAACCCTAATTAAGATCTCTCTTTTCTTTTGTCTGGGAATCTGCAACACATAAACAAGGAACCCCAACAGATCACGAAATCAAGTCCTAAGATTTGATTCTAAAGAGATCAGAAATCAGACCCCCCTTATGCTAAAGCCTGCGATCATCAACGACTCCTAGTACTTACCTGCTGCTATATACTGTACATGGTAGGACAGCGGGGGACTCTCTAGTTAAAATTCAAGTTCAATTACCGAAACTTGCTCATATCATCCAAGATTTAGTTAGCAAAAACAAATAAATATTAGAAACTTGCAGGATATATAGCAAGACGGTGAGAAAATTACGCACCCGGAGCTAGAAAACTCGTATAATTTCCCTCTGGGGGAGAAGATGATGAGTGCAACTTCAGCATCGCAGAGAACGGACAACTCAAAGGCCTTTTTAAGCAGTCCATTTCTTCGCTTTGAGAAGGTTACTTGCCTGCTTGCTGCATTTTCTATTCTCTTCATCTGGGTTTTCGTTCTCACCATTTTCTCCTACAAGCACAAACCCAGAAAAATAATTCGTCTCAACTCAAAGTGAATTTTGATGTTGACAACCAAAATACCCAGATTAGGGGAAAAAGATCTCTGAAAATAGTATGACAGAAAAATCTGCAGAAGTTGGATTGATATGAAGGGAAAAAAGAAGATTTTTTTATTTTCCAGGAATTTTCTCTTGAAAATGAAAAATCTAACAGAAACCCTAGATTTTGCAGTTGAGAAATGACTTGGCCAATCACTCACTCAAGCTTTTCTAACCCTATATTTTAGTAGTAAATAAGTAAGAAAAAACAGGAGGATATCATAATAATAGGCAAAGTCTATGGAAGTGAAGAACCTAATCCCTTTCTTCTTTTGGAAAAATTGAAGACGACCTCCCAAAAAAAGAACAACAGAGAATAAAATGACAAAACGTGTGATTCCACGACGGGCGAGACGGATGCACCTAAAATGTGTGCCCACCGCCTGAACGCGTGACACCTGTTGGTTTTTACCTTTCTTCTTTCGGTTGCATGAAAATGTTGAACACTCACCCGGACACCATTAAAAAGTCTCTCTCTCTCTACCTTGGTCCGTACAAGGTTGAAAACACGTCTGCATCCGTCCGTACGATAGAATAGGTAAGAACCAATGGGAGTTAGCCACGTAGTTCATCGGAGATCTGACTGGGTTTCACGTGGCCAATCCTTTTTTGGTGGTGGGTTTTGGGTCATTTTTGCTTTTTTTTTTTTTGTGTATTTGTAATTAAATAATATATAAGAGCAAGAATCGAATGACCAATTGTTGTTATTCTTCGAGGTTTTAAGTGAATGTTAAGGATATAAGTGATATTGTCAAATGATTGAGAGTTGTTTTTCAATAGATTATTTTTCAATAAATATTACCTTATACATATCCAAATTAATTAAAAAATAATATAAAATAATTTTTTGACCATAGAATCATTATATTTATAAAACGATCATTACAATTATTAAATTATCATAAAATGATATCTGCAACCCTATAATGTTATATAATATAATAAATTTTGATAAATTTAATAATAAATTTTAGATAATTTGATAAGGTTAATAACTATTTTTGTGGTATTTTAATAAATTTAATGATATTTTATAATTACTTACATATTTTCAAAGATCATTTTATAACAATTTAATAAGTTTAATGGTCATTTTCTAATGATTCAGAAAATTTAATGATCATTTCATAATAGTTTAATAACATTTTTTGTAATGATTTTTAAAAAATTAATAATTATTTGAGAAGCTTAATATTTTTTTGTAATAATTTGATAAATTTAATAATCATTTTATAACTATTTAGAAAGTTTAATGGTCATTTTTGCAATTGTTCAGTAACTTCAATAATCATTTTGTACTAGTTTAATGATCTTATAAAATTTTGAAAAAAATATAATTAGCTGAAAAAATATCTTTAACATAGTACAATGAGCATGTGAAATGTGTAACTGGGGGCGCACTATTGGATCCTCGATTCTTTAAAAAAATTAAAAGTATGCCTTTTAATGGCATTATTAATGAAAAACCCTCGTTAACTATTTTTTTAAAACAATCCCCATATTAGATTAGTTAAAAAGTAACTCCCAAATCGTTAACGTAGAATTATCTCGTATCTTATAAAACATATTTAATGGATCTTATATTTTATAGAATGCGAAACTCATAAATTTTTTCAGATGAAGTTATCTAATATTAGATAAAAATAATAATAAATACATGAAACTCATTTTTCTTAAAACAAAATATTTGATCTTATTTTTTACATAACGTGATATATCCTATGCGAATAATTTAGAGATTATTTTTCTATCTAATCTGTAAAATTTAAAAAAAAATTAGTGAATGCTTTTCATTTAATAATGTTTTGTTGGGGATGATAAAGGCAGGTCTTAACTCTCACTAACTCAGGGACCACATTTGGGACACGTGCCCTTCAACTTTTGAGGGTATAACGTGGACAACTAATTTATTGATAACAAAGAAGATTGGAGTCTACATTTCGAGATAAGTTGATATTATTTTACAATTATTTATTTATTCGTTAATAAATTAATTGTATTACTTCAAGGGTGGTTTTGCTAATAAGTTGCTATAGACTATACAGTCTATGATTTTGATAGAGCTTGAAGAAGCATGTAGAAAGCAAATCAAATGAAATAATTGGCTGTCAAATTTGAATTTTTAAGTTTATTTAAATTTAATTTAACTCGATCGAATATTCGTCTTTATTTTACACTAAAAATGTTTACATGGTGGTTGAACCGTGAGGGCCTTAATTGAGCTTGTTGAGAGGTGATAAGGCCAAATCCCAAAGGCATAATACGATCAAATAATCTTAACGTTTGATAGTATTGTTAAACTTATCCGTATTATTTTTTTTGGAACATTTGACTCGTAAACGTTTTATTTTGGGTCAAAAACACTTTTGTTGGATGGAAATTATTAGTCAATTGACGGTCAACGCATGGTGCTGACCAAGTAAGAACATGCGAACCCAGATGCTGATGCGACGTATCTAGATTATGATAGATGATAACATGACACTGTGATGTCAGATTTTTTAATAAAAATTAAAATATTATATATTTTTATTTAATATTTTTGGTCAATAAGATGATGACATATGTCAAAACCATATTTTTTAAATTTAAACCAAACTAAACAAACTTTTGTGAGGAGCTGAATATGGGTCAACATGCTTAATATCTTAATACCTAATCACCAAGTCAAATCTTTCATTTGTGTATCTTTTACAACACAAAATATTTAACATATATGTTATTTCTCTCACACATTTTATTAAACACATTCTTCATCCCTTATTGCCATTATATTACTACAACTTTCTCTTTTTATTCTTGGTAATTGTCCCAGCCACATGCTTGCTTTTCATCTTCAAAATCACCTTGTTAATTTGTAATCTTATTTCTAGAAAATGTGTAATCACATTGTGAAAATGAAGTTTTTTTTTCTGACATTTGCGGGTTCTTTTAAGAAGTTCACTGCATTTGGAAAGAAGTTCTTTGGTACAGACAATGAAGAGAGGGTCTCCGTCGGTGAGTTTTCTGCTATAATTGTGGTTCCAGTGGCCGAAATTATTTCTTTTACCATACAATCCACCAGCTAGTCCTATCTCAGATGGAAGTATCGCTGCCATGTTCCATACTTTCTTTATAGTTGTTGCTTCATGTAAAGCTGCATATGAAGGGGGGAAATCTCCAGTCAATTTCGAGTTTGGGTTTATTTTTGTTTAAAATGAGGGTCGGTCATTAGAAAGACATATTCTATTTACATGTAGTTGCGGCGACGGTGAGGGTGATAATGTCATCGTAGGAACGAACATGAACGACGGAGCTGACAACCGAAGCAAGTTAACAACATTCAGCTCTATTGAGATGTAGCAGTTTAGTTGAATACAAACATATTCATTGATCAAGATTATTGTGCAGGCAACACACTTATAGGTTCTTTATACACAGCTTGATAAGCAGTTACTGTCAATGTGTACAAGCTAACAACCACTAACAGCCTAACTAACAGCTAACTGCTAACTGCCTACTAATCGTTGATGACTCAGCTGACTAAAGGCTAACAACATGCATGTTGTAACATCTCGAAATCCGAGTCAGTGACTAAAAATGAGAATTGTTGAAATTTGGTGATAAAAGTAGAATATTTAAATAGTTTAATGACTTATTGTAAATATAGTTGAAGGTTGTCTAGTAATTGTTGAATGAATTAAAGGGTAAAATGGTCAATTGACAAGTAAGATTTTTATTTTCCTTTATAAGATAAGGGAACCATGTGAAAGCGAGAGATTTCTCCAGAGTTCTCTTCTTCTCTTTTTTTTTCTTCTTCACGTGGAAGCCAAGAACAAAGGTGAGTTTCTGGTTAATTGATTTCTTGTTGAATTTTAAGTTTGGTTTTGATTATCAAGTGACTCTTAAGCTTAAGGGAAGCTTAATTTGTCATAAAACAATAAGAGGAAAGATATAGAAAGGATCAAAGGAAGTAAGTGGAAGTAAGTGAATAAATGAAATCTTGGTAAAAAAAACATTTATGGGATTTCCAGACCAAATTTGACTTGCCAATGGTTTAATTAAGAAGTTAGAAACAATAGAATTGAATTTTGAACATGTTGAAAATTTAGTGTAATTCTTGAATTACATATGGAGAATAGGATTTTGATGTTAAAGAGGTGATTAATGAATAGAAATCAGTTTGTATATGTGTATGTGAGTTAAGAATATAAAAGGGGATGAAATATAAAGAGTTGAGCTAAAAAGAAAGTGAATGTCGTGCTCTAACTGGAATTTCTGGGTTGTGTGCATCGATGCACATTCATTGTGTACCGATGCACTCTCAAATAAATTAACATCGAATGCAATGAATGCATTGATGCATAGGGAGTGCATCGATACACCCCTTAAAATGGAAACATCAAATGTAAATTGTGTATCGATGCATGGGGTAGTGCATCGATGCACATATTAAGGGATACATCGATACACTGTAGAATGTACCGATGCACTTCAAGGGAAAATAGAATTAGGCCTTTCTTTTGGCCTAAGAAATGATATATTAGAATATATCAATTGGATACTGATATGTATCAATGTATGATTATATATATATTGAGCACGAACAAGTTCCAGAACGATTATCAAGTTAAGATTCGATTGAAAGAAATGATCATAAAATGGGATTGGAACTTAGTGAGGCCAAGGTGAGTGCATCTTATTTTATAGAATGATATGGAAATTGGACTTGTGATAAGTCTATTTCCGATAGTTAAAGTGCATGAAGTATTGATTATAAGTAGGTGAATGACATGAAATATATGTATGTTTGATTATATGAGTGGATATGTTTTTGTATGTGTTATGTGGCTTATGTGAACATATGGTTATGAGATAAAATAGGTAATCATAGGAGAATATGATGAAAGTAAATACATGAAAAGACATATCCATGTGACATGTGAATATACTTGAATAATACATGTTATGTGATATGAGATTATGTGACAATAAGTTATATGATATGAATAATATAATAAGAAGATAGGTGATAAAAACCGTGAGCCTATATGAATATGTGATATGAATGTGATATACTTGATGTATGAGAATCATATGAGAATAAGAGATGACAATGAGTTACATGCCATATGAACACAAGAGAAGTGTTATAAGCTAAGAGACATATGATTATGAAATCATATGAAAAGTGAAATGTACATGTAAAGTGATATAAATATAATGCCCATGTTATATGATACGAGAGCTATAGGTATAGTTGGTATGCCAAGAGTCGAGGGTATACGCGGTCCTTCGGGACAAACAGTGATC